GACGCATAACTTCTAACTTCTTTTGGACTGATGCATGCAACACCCGCTGAGTGGCATTAAACAGCTTGAAAGATAATTTTTTATATAACTCCGACTGGATTCGTCTGAAAGGAGAAAGTCATATACACCTAGGATGACTTGAGGGTGAGTAATTTATGGGCTAATTTTCATTTTTGGGTGAACTACCCCTTTAAAGGCCCTTTCACACGGAATCACCACGCAGCTCCCGATTTCTGTCATAGTGGAAGCGTTTTGTGCAGTTGAAGCCTTGTTTATACTTTCGCCTGGCTCTACGCCACGAACCTGCTGACTGCCCGCTCCTCCCTAAACGGACGAGGCTTTTATACTTCATGCGCTCGCCGTTGTATAATTCTGTGAAACGACAGGGGGCGACTCGGAGTAATTGTTCTCCAAACCATCAGAAAGCAGCAGTTGGAGATAGTAGTTTGCCGAATAGTTTGTCAAAGAGTTATTTCGTGAGAAGTTTGTGAATAAATTGATTTTTTCACATATAAACTGATTAGGTTGTGGGTAATTTTGGAGGGCACATGTGAAAATGTTTTTGAGTACACTTCTTAAACCCACACAAAATAATTAAAAGAATCGTGTAAAATGCAGTAAACTTGAGATTATGATTTGTGACATTAGAACAAACCATATGAATATAACATATGTATAACACTAAATTAAATACTGCTTTCTTTTTTTTTATTATTCATTAAACATTTTTTTTTTAAATGAATGTTTGTCTTTAACATGGACCATTATTCATTATTTCTGATATTGCAGGCTCATTTTGTAAATATAAGCATTTTAAATTTTAGACAAGTGCAAACTTGGTGCTTAATGAAAAATGTGTCACATTTACAAAATCAGGTGATTGTGTTCACTCATCTATGCAAATGTATGTTTATGTAGAGACAAAATAATTAGGTTAATCAGTGTCTGTCATCAACAGTTTAATTTGTGAAGACACTGATGAATGGTTCACCACAAAAAATCTTAAGGTTTTGGTTTTATTGTTCAAAAACAAAAAAACAAAAACAAAAAACCTTTGAACAAATAGTGTTAAATGCTATCTAAATGAATTCTATTTTTAAAATGTAAATTTTAGATAAATTTTCTCATTTGAGTAAACTTTATATACAACAAAATAAACTTAACATGAAATAAATATACTTTTTTTTTTGGTATTTCCTACAGGGTAGGGGAAGGGAAGAGGTATGTAAAATGAAAACAAAAGTTTCTAAGCAGTTGTACACATCGAAATGTGTGTTTGTTTGTTTGTTTGTTTGTTTTTTTATTTCTGCAGAATAGGTCCAGATAGATTTCAGCCTATAGGGATACCTGTACTGTATGGCCAATTTTACATGCATTTTGTGTATTTTCAAAATACAAAATACTGTATTTGTATTTAAATACATTTTTCCACACAGTATTTTGTATTTGTATTTAAACACATTTTTCTACACAGTATTTTGTATTTTTATTTTAAATACATTTTCATGTATTTATGCCCATCTCTGAATGTGAATCTACACTGAACAAAATTATAAACGCAACACTTTTGTTTTTGCCCCCATTTTTCATGAGCTGAACTCAACTAAGCGAGATCCCAATTTCGTCGGTCAGCCGACGTGACGTCGGGAGTGACCGACTGAAAGGGAACTCCAACTCTCCATCCATCGCCCTTCCTCATTCTTAGTCCCTGAAGAAAAGCATCAAATGGGAGGTTAAAACACAAACCAATGCTCCAAATGTAAGGTGAGTGTTTAAGTCATATTTCAACCAACAGACTGATTTTTTTTTTGCTTTCCAGACAGTTTACTGAACACAAATATATATATTCTTTCTTTCTTTTAGTAACAATTTTGGTGAAATTGGTGGTGTGTGTTTTTAAATAAGTTATACTTTTCATACTATGGTGTGTCTATAAATCAGGGGCATATATCTTCCCTTTGATATGTTTGGCATGGATTTGTTTTGACCCCATGACTTGTTAGCAATGCTGCCATTTTTTTTCTTAGGCATTCTTGATATTAAAATTACCTTTAAAACAGTTTTAAAAGTAAAATACCAATAACTACCAACAGGAACGCTAAAGAAACTAAATTGCGCAAATAAACCTTGATGATTCCTTCAAAACGACATATGCAATAAGTGTATATCTGAAAATTCCATAATGCAGAGAAAAATCAAAACTATGTAGTAATATCAGTGTCAGTTTCATATACGTAATTGCCTAGTTTAGTCATACATGCCTTAAGATTCTGAACAAATTCATCCTTTACACTTTACATTAAATAGTGCAGGGAAACAATCAATTGTCAAAGAAGCACACATATTATCCTTCTTATTTTGTTAGAAAATGTATGCTAGCATAAATAAATTTTGATTAAATGCAAACCAAGTGTAATCATATCCCAAATAAGCCCCTCACAGTGGGATTCTATTTCTAAGTGTCAAATCATCACTTCATAAGTCATCGAGCAACACGCAAGCTGCACATGTTTATTCTTATGGCAAAGTCTAGTGCAAATAATTTATAACTATTAAAAATCGAATTACATATTAAAGTAATTGTCAAAATGACATGTTAAATAATGGCATTAAGCTTCACAATATCACATTTCTTAAAATCCATAACAAACACACATTTGAAATGTACACATTTTCATGATGTTTACAATTGCAATAATAAAGGACTTTTATTATTGCAAAATTAGTATTTGTATTGTCACAGGCCTAACAGACATTTACTACTCCAGCAGACAAGAACCATTTGATGGTTTATAAATAAACTTGCTGAGATTACGTGTCGATTTTGCTATTTTAAATAGAGTTAGATAGATGAATAGTGGAATTACAGGTTTAATCCGGAAAGCAGGTGTTGGTAGTTAGATCCGGTAAAGAAAGTGTGCGTGAAATCCTTCAGATTCAAGGTAAGATTCAGGAGAGTCAACCGATGGGTGCTCAGGGCAGCGAGCAGGATTCACTTGCTGTTGAAGGCAATGGGAGTTTTTAATGGCATTCTTTGATGGCTCAGCAAAACCTCAGATATCTCTTTAAGGATCACTGTGCTGTGTTGCTAAGGCCAGTGGATCAGAGCACACATCTGAAATTCACACCACAAATACCTTCCATGTTCCCTTCTTAAAAATAACTTAACCTTGACGTCATTCTTATTATTTGCTTATGTATTTATCTAATTAAAAATGTGAGACCTCTGCTAGTTGTATAGTGGTGCCTACTTAAAGTTATTAAACTAATAAGAGAATCATATACAGTTTAAGATGAAGAAATACACCAGCAAATGCCTAGAGAGATGTTGTGGGACTTGAATTTACTCACCCAATGATCCATCAAGAAATATAAAGGACATCATTCTGCAAGAATTATAAAATATTCTAATTATATTTTAACGTCACATTGAATATTAACCTAATAAAGACAAAACAGTGATTTGAGAAATGAAGAATCTTACCTTAAAGATAAAACGAGCAGTACTTGATTTAGACTTGAAGTTAGTTACACTGAATTATAGTTTAGAAAAAATTCAAACCTTGTTTGCAACCCATTTTACTTTCAAAATAGTGGCAGATTTCAGCGTGCAATGGGATATTCGATGTGAAAAAAATGTAGGGTGGTTCTATGAGATATAAAAAGTTGCATCAGGTGCTTTGAGGGACTGAAAAATAAGACGTCAACTGAAAAGGAAAGTCATTTTAACATTGACAAATTGATCATGATAAGACCAGGAATGTCTACTAAAAAGTAAATAGGGCTGAATTTGTTAACCTTAAGCAATTAAAAAAAATTTTTTAAACAATTTAAAAGTTACAGGTTGATAGTTTAAATAAAGTTACATAAAAAAGCAGAAAGCAACAATTAGTACAGTGGGGGTTATTTATTCAGAAAAGACATCATTTTGACAAACAGTCAATCTGTATAGAATTACAAACTGAACCCTTCATTGTTCAAGAGAGTTTTGACTGGCATTTCTATGGACTATAAATTTAACTGTTACAAACATTTCCTTAACGCAGTGCATTTTATTCAGATCCTAGTCAGAAAAAAATCATCGTGGAATACTCATCAATAACATCTTCAAGCTTCAGATTCAAACATCTTCTTCCTGCCGCCCATACCAGCCTTATCCTCAATGTTCTTACGCCAGTCACCGACGTCACGCAATTCTTTATCCTGTGAATAAGAGTAGGATTTTCAGCTTTTGCGACCTGGAAGTTCTTGACCTTATCATCTAAAAACAAAACTTTGGTCATCTTTTGTACTCACCTCCTCTTTGACCTCCTTCTTGACTTGTTTGAGGTTGGCTCTCAGGTCCATGGAGATCTTGTGCTTGGAGCCCAGCAGAGCCTGAAGCATAGCGTCAGCAGACATGCGCACTTTCTTCAAAGGAGGCTTCTTGAACTTGCCCTTCAGGTCGACGATCTTGATGTTTAAGTCTTTAACCTAAAACAAACAAAAAAGAATCTAAAGACCACCTTGTTCATGGACCACACAGAAAGAGATATTCCAAAAACGTCTTACCTCATTGACAACCATGATGGCTTTGTGCTCTAGAATATATCTCTCCTCGTCAACATTCTCGATTTTTGCATGTAACTCTTTGCAGAGCACCTGTTGACAGAATAAAGTTCATGCTTAAAAGTTTCCAAAAAATTCCAACTTCTAGTAGTAGTAGTAATAACTGAATTGGACCTGTAGTTCTTGTTTAGAGATTGGGTATGACAAGGGAGGACAATGATCTTCCATGTATCTCTTCCTCTCCTCCTTCTTCTCTATCTCCTCTGCATCCAGTAAATCTTTTGCAACCTGGAGCATCATGCTCTACAAGCAAATATGACTCAATAAGAATCCTTATTCTTTTTCTTCTGTATGGTGCTGTTTGATGTTGGATTGGTTCAATAAGACATGAGCTCTTACCTTCAGGCTGTGTTTTTTACTACTAGACATTCGTTTGCTTAGCAAGGGGAAAAATAAAGACATTAGGATATTGATTTCTCTGTTGTGCTACCATAGTTAGATTGTACTTTGTTAGGACTGATCTACAATATTTATAGTGTTTGCAAAGCAGCACACTGATATTCCTCAAGCATTCTGGTTAGTGTTTGTTCTAAACCATGAAGCCAAAGTTGTTAAACTTTTGCAGCAAATGCAGCCCAAACTGCTTAAAGTACAGAATTTTGATTGGTATTTTCTTTCTTGCATCCATTTTACTATATAGCCATCTTTACGGTGGTGTCATACTGTGTTGATTATCACTAGTGTTGCTTTCGTCAACGAAAATTATGACTAAATATCGTCGTCAACGAACCTTTATCACGTGACGAAAACGAGACGAGACGCAAAGTAAATGCTGGTCATGTGACGATGACTATAATTAAATGTATAATGCAATATTATTGACGAATAAAAACGAGACTAAATGTGGTTTATGAAATAAAAACTATGCTAAAATGTCTCTTCATTTTCGTTGACCAAAACGAGACGAAACGAAATGTTATAACGTTATTTCGTCTTTATACGCAGGCGACGTCACTTCCTCAAGCCCCACTCGCGGCATTATTTAGAGCAGTGTTTCCCAACCGGGGTGCCGTCTGTCGAGAGCAGGGGTGCCGTTTAAAAAAAAAATCTTTTTTTAGTATTTTTAAATTGCTAAAATGTTCAAAAAAGCAGCTATTATATAATATCCATTTCTAATGTCGCCAATAATTAGAGATGCACTGAAATTCCGGCTGCCGAAAATTAGTTCACCGCTCAGGATTCACTTTCACGTGGTGTGACGCTCTGCGTATTATCCCGCTCTATTCGTGTTCGCTCCGCTCAATCGCTCCACTCGTATACCGTTCATGCGAATCGGAACAGCACATTCCACTCAAAAATCGAGCCGACAGGAAACATCGATGTAGTACAGTATTGTTTCTGTCTGCAATAGCCCTACTGTGTTGTAACAAGGTGTGGTAAATGGGCAACTCTGGTAACGCTGCCCTCTC